CAAAACATCATAAAACAGTACTAAAAATCAAACCCCTAAATCCTAAAAGTTACAAAATCCTGACAACAATATATTGTTTAAAGAAATAACAATACTTTATAGCTGTAGAATAATGTTATTTAATAAGTCTTAGAATATTGCTATACTAAAACATTACATAGAGTTTTAGTTAGAGTTAGATTTCTTTACATAGAAATAATTGCTATTTCATTCTGATATTTTCCATCTACTTAAAATATTTTTAAATATTTTTCTCATAAAGTAGTAGCATGTTAAAGTTGGAGGAAAACTAAAACTTGATTTACTTGGAATTATGTTTTCTGGTTGCCACACTTCAAATCTGTTTTTCTGATCTTGGCCAAACAAGCCCAGGTATAGGTTCTAAAAAAAAGGGTTCATATTATTATATAATATTCTAATGACAAAACATTCAATGACTGCTCCTGGGAAAACGTTCTTAGGTTTCCTGACGAAAATAGAAAGGAAGGAAGAAAAAAGAGTATTATAGAAATCGGTCTTCCTATATACCCCTCTTCGAAAGCATAGCATTTATGAAAAGCTACCCACAAGGTATCCTACATGCCGAAAAATTTCCTACCGATAAAAGTTACCATTTCCACACGGCTAGTTCACGAAAGATCACTCGAGGACACGTCGCTTCCTCAGAGCATTAGATTCAGGTTCGAAAACCACGTTTCTACTTGCACCACAGGCACGGGAATCTCAGATGGACAAGGTATAATCCCACAAAGAACCATAATAAGCACTCCAAACAGTGAAGGAAAACACCAGACTCCGCACCGAAGGGAATAACAGAAGAAAAAACAATCCCAGAATAGCCCGCGCCGAATATTAAATCTATAATGCAAAACACAAACATAGCATAATCGAAAGATAGAGCTAAAGTTACAAAAGCATGACTTGGTCGTCGTCACCTTCAGAGGCTTCATCCTGTTTGTGGACGAAATGTTAGTAAGACGACAATACACGAGAAAGGGCCAAGGAGAAGTACCATATCTGCCGCCAAGTCTCTGTGCCATATATCGCTCGTTCTTCCTGATATCAAAACTGCTGGTATTGGGGGAGTGGGGGAGGGAGGTGAGGTGACAACAGATGAAAGCGGTGATGGGTCGGGAGATGGTGAAAGGAAGGACAAAGGGGTTATACCAGGGTCTACTGGTTCGGTTTTAATAGGTGTTAACTGTTGATCTATGTCGAGATGTCGAGGGTACGGATTTTGAGGCATTGGGGGAACTTCAGGCTCTTGACTTTGAGGCTCGGGTTTGACAACTGGAGCGTCGTCTGTAGGTGGGGGTGGAGCAGGTTCTGTTAGAATCTCGGGGGTTTCTGACAGATTCTCGTTCTTTATTCTTCGTGGCGGCGGGCTGTGTAGAGCCCTTTGATGGGGTGGATCCGTAGAGGTCATGCCTGGCTGGGACGATGAATCTTCTTGCGGTAGCAGTGGTGATTGGGATTCTAATTGAGGTCGGGCTTCCGGCTGCGGAATGGGAGGCCTCGCCTGCCCCGGTGGGCTAGCCCGAGGATCCTCTTTTGTCTCTAGAATACTCTCTTTAATAGTGGCAGATGCTCCCTCCAATAAATTTTCATTTCCATTGACAAGTAACGATGCACCCTCCGAATTCTCAAGTTGATCTTGCGCCTCCTCATCGTTGACCAAGGTCGTCTCTTCCGTCAGATCAAAGTCATCCTCATTCAATTCCCCCTCATCCACTTCACCCAATCCACCGTCACCCAACTCCTCATCAGACCGTCCATCGTCCCAATCGGCTGTGTGCATCAACACACCGCCCCAGTCGCCGAGTAGTTTCTCTATCAACCATGGATGCCTCATCAATTCTTTAACAGTCTTCCTCTTATGCACACTCACCTCCATCATTTCCATCAAGAACTCAACAATTTCTGCTTCACCAGTTCTCTCCGTCAACGAAGATCTCAGAATGCCCTTTCTGGGTCGTCGTCGAGGGACCTCCTTGGGTGTATTTTCCTCCGGCTTAGTAGTCCTTGCAACGTACCATCTCTCTGCGGTCTTTCGTCGCTTCTTTTTCGGTGGAAACGGAACCGACTCGAGCGAAGCCTCGTCGTATGCATCCATGTAATACATCCCATACCGATACTCCGTTACACTCCCCACCAGCTCAATGACCCGGCGAACCATGCCCTCGCGATCTTCCATATGGCTCCTAACCAATTCGACTTCCGGTAGGCCCTCCCCGACAACCTCACCGTCAAGTAATAACTCCACCGCGATCACGCCTGCGCTCCAAACGTCCATAACACGGCTCAGGGGCCCATGTCCCAGGAGAATTTCCGGAGCACGGTAGCATACACTTTGGACGCCAAAGTCGTCTAGATAGGCTTCTCGGTCTTCAGGGCGAATAGTGTTCCCCAGGTCGATAAGTTTAATTCTATTTGAGGATGGTAGAAAAAGCATGTTCGCGGGTGTGAGATCCGCATGTATGAGATTGTGAGAGTGAAGCGATAACAACCCAGATAGAAGTTGTAATATTATCTTTGCGAGGGAAAGGTGTCTGGCGGGGCATGCAAGCTTCGAATGAGCCTCTGTGCAAAAACATTCTACTAGTGCAACCGGACGCCCAGAATCTAATCGCTCGAGGACCAGGTGAAAGTGGCCGCTGTCTGCGAGGAAGCAGGATATCGGAGAGATGATATGGCGGGGATGCTGGCCCTTCGAATAGAGGTATTGTAGTAGCGAGTACTCGTTCTCGCCGATCGCCCCGAACGGCCGCTTCAGCCGTTTGATGGCTACGAGTGTAGAGCTGTCCGACGCATCTAGGTGCTTCAAAACACGTTCGGCCAGATATGTCGTCGAAAAGTTCCCGCGACCAAGAACCGAGAGCACCCTATACCCCGAATCCAGCAGCGCATCTTCCAACACGGGTTCCTCCTGCTCATCATCATGGTCATCTCCCACCACTATCTCTTCCCCCCTCTCCACCGGCGGTGACGAGCGCAGACTACCAGTACCCTGGACCTCCCCACCAAGCGCACAATCCCCCTCCCTCCGAGAATTCCCGCTCCCCCACCGATCCGGGGTAGATAGCGGTGTAGGCATATCTGAGGTAGAAACGGAAGTCAGTACTATTCATTGCGGAGTAGTCAAGATTGTGCAAGTTAGCGATCCCAACCCTTACCCGTCATCTCCCTAGCCTTCCTCCCTTTTCTCAGCCCTTGCTTCGCGAAAGTTGTGTTCTCCTTATCCGAATCTATTCGTCTGCCTCGCAGTGACATAATGGGCTCGCGGGGGCATTGCGCGGGGCTGGCGTTGATGGATAGTGGGATGGAACAGGTTGTTGCTGGCGCGAGTGAAGCTGGAGTTAGTCGGTTACATTGCCCTTTCTTGGGTTGGCATTTGGCGTGCTGGCTGGGGGCGGATGTTCCCACCAGCAATGTACTGTACTAGTACGAGTGGCAGCCGCCCGCCAGGCTGAAAACGATATAAAATGGGTCAAAATTCAATGAAGCCTGTGAAATAGAATCTATAAACCCAAACCGCGTGCAGGCATATCGTAGCAGATTTTCCCGTAGATCCGACAGTAGTATCTTTAACACTGATGCCGAACACTACAAACCAATATCCTCTAACGCCTCACAAGCCATCGAATTTAATATAATGTGAAAATCTAATAAGATAAAAACACCCGTGACTAAGTACTAATATCAATCCCGGAGCCCATTTTTTATGCCAGTGATCACACTTACATGGGCACACACTAGCTTTACAGAACAGAGAAACATTGCAAACTAAAACTTGTCCCAATTATCATCATCCCAAGAATCTTCCTTCCTTCCGCTCTTCAATGCCATGGTCCCAGTAGCGGCAGGCTTCTTGGGTGCCATACTTGTAGGCGCGCTTTTCTCTTCGCCAAAACTATCCCAAAAGTCTTTGTACTCCGGTTCGTCTCGGGCGACAGGTTTGTATTGAGGGCCTCCGGCATTGTCCACGAACCTATTGAGACTCTCGACACCGTACTTTCCGGTCTCGGTAACCTTCTGTCCCAAGGCCGCTGCGTGCCTCGCTAGCTCTGCCTCTGCGAGTTTTTGCGCGGTTGGTTGGATGACAGATTGGTTGACTGTCTGAGCTGTTTTGGTTACTTGTGTGGTAAAGAAACCGAAACCTTTAGTCAATGCACCTACAGGATCTCTTGAAAACTCGTCAAGACTAGGTGCAGAGCTGTTACCGGTCGACATATCTAGTGGAGGGGTTGAGCCGAAACCAGCATATTTTCCGCCTTGTGATGGCGGGAGATCTGCTGAGCGGTTTGCATTTTCACTCCCAAGCCTAGAAAAATAGGCTTCGTTCCGTTCTTTGCTCGACGCATCGACCGAGGCCGGGGACCCAGGGAGAGCAGAGGACAGTGGTGCCGCAGAACGATTATTCTGGCGCTCCACCCGTACCCATTCCCGACCTTCAATGTCTGCTGTCAACTAAATCACGGCATCAGCCGCGCAAAACCTGAAAGCCTGGAACGCCTTGAAGCAAACCTTTTCTTTATAGTCCTCGCCAAAAGAGCTTCCATACCTCTCGCCGATGGTCATATTCTCTCCAAACTCGGGCGCCTTCCGAAAAAATTCTTGACATCTCTTGTTTCCTCCCTTCTCCATACGTTTGATCTCCTCATTTTTAAACGAGTCCATAGTAATTGAGCGGACAAAAGATATATGAACACCTAAACCTCTAAAAGTCACGCCAGCTCCCCTCTCCCACAAGCGGTCAGATGTGGATTTTCTCCAAGTGGGCTGCGGAGGGAGAAAGAAGGACTACCGGTGAACACCCGCACAAGACAAACAGATAAAAATCTAATCAATTGTGAGTCCATGACCAAGTGATACTTGCGGTGAAGGTTAGTGGCGAGCCCAAAAAAAAGAGACATACCCCGAACTTCGGGCTGGCCCACTGGGGGGCTGGAGCATTGCAATCACAACAGACATTATTCCCATCCCTCTTTTGGATCTCAAGGAGCTATTTTCCCGTCAGAAACAAGCTCCCGGTGAGTCAGGTAAGAACAGGCTACCTTTCTCCTAGTCTCAGGGTCAATCTCCCACATTTTCGACATTTTGGAGGGTTTAGGCTTGAGAAAAAGCAATAATGGTAGGGCAAGAGTAGAGACGTTAAATTTCCAGAAAAAAGCTCGGTGTTCAGTAGGAAGGGGGTACAGAGGCAGCAGGAACCAGTAAGTTAGGGCTAAAAAGGCAATGAAGCACGAGTCGCATACTATACTCGAGTGCCCCTTCTGCGCTTGTTGAGTGCGGCAGGGCTAAACAAGGGGAACCAGTGTTACCCGGCCTTCGGCACTATCGCTAGTCTAATATAGTGGTCAATTAGCAGAGTTAACCCACATCAAACATAAGCAAAACGACCATCACAATCATCACTCACCATGGATTTCTCCTCGATCATGGCCGCCGAGATCTCCAAGAAGCGGAAACCAGAGCCCTCTTCGAAATCGTCCGCAGAACCCGCTCCTAAGAAATACACGAAGCGCTCCGAACTTGAGGCGCAACGTCGCCGCGAATACGAAGAAAAACAAAAGCGCCTAGAGAAAGAACGACGTGAGAGGGCTGAGAAGAAACGACAGGAGGAGGAAGAAGAACGCAATCGTCGGGAGGCAACCAAGGCTAAGCAAAAACAACTCGCGGAAGAAAAGCGCCGTCGAAAGGATGAGGAAGAAGCCAAACGATTAGAGAAGGGGGGTCCGCTCGCCAAGGAGGGTTCAGATGGTTTCGATGAAACAAACGGTTCGGAATCCATGACGGAAGCTGAGGCAATAGAAAGGTTACGGAGCATGGGAGAGCCTGCCCGTTTGTTTGCCGAAACACATGCGCAAAAGGTCCGCCGACTCAAGAGGCTTTTGGCAGCATTAGAAATCAAGAATAGGGAGGCGACACCTCCGCTGTCGGAGGAGGAAATGGTACTCAGTCCGGACGATATTCCTAACGACAAAGTTAAGGTGTACCGGCAACTCGCGGCATGGTTCGCACTAGTTCTCTCGGAATGGGAGATTATGCTCGAAAGCAGGCCGGCCGCACTCAAAGACTCGTTTCAAGGCAAAGCGGCAGCAAACTCGATGACCCAAGCAAAGACGTATATGGTCCCGCTATTCCGTCACTTCAAGCAAAAGGATCTGCACGAAGATATATATACGAAGGTCTGTGAAATCGTAGTGGAAGCTCAGGCCAGAAGATACGTCCGCGCAAATGATGTCTACCTGAGATTAAGTATCGGAAATGCGTATGTTTCACCAGTTCTCCCCCCCCCGCGTTTGGATGGGTACTAACTACTTGAAGTGCTTGGCCCATTGGTGTTACCATGGTTGGTATCCACGAACGTTCCGCAAGAGAGAAGCTTCACGAGAAAGGATTGGCAGCACATATCATGAGCGACGAGGTTACGAGAAAATTTCTTCAGAGCATCAAGAGATGCCTGAGCTTCTGTCAGACAAGATGGCCCCCGGAGGATCCATTACAGCTTATGGGGTAAATTCTTCAAATTGGGGTGTTTGGTTTGCTCGTCCCTGTCATTATGTATCTATAATTATTCCCAAAGTATGGTTTAGAACGGGGATGTACCTTTTTTTTTTCATTAATTACTTTTGTTCATCAAACCCTTTAGTCTGATTCCGCAAGATCATAGTCCCCGTTCTGTGGTTCCTCAAGGGTCACTATGCACGAGCCATCACTCGTTTCTACCTTGATACGAAGCCCTCGTCTATCCCGACCATCCCATCAACACTCGACACCCGACACGAGCCGGATCAAACCCAGTCCTCGCCACGAGGGGGTAAAGTATTCCAGCAAGTTCGAGATTTCCGAGACCGGCACGCCCACAAAGCATTCATAGCTACTCACTCGCATTTCAATTTGTGGATGGGTGGATCATGAAACGAAAGTTGCCCGCCTACGGTATCACCGTACCATTCAATCACCGGATCTCACACAATCCCTGATAACCTCCAGTCTTTTTGAACCCACCATCGCACCTTTCACTCCCCTCGCGATAGCGCTTGGCACAAATCGTGGTATGCTCGAGGATGATTCCCGAAGGTGGATTGGATATTCCCGTACAATATTAACCTCTCGACGCCCTACCGGTATCACACCCGGCTTTGGGAGAAGGAGAAAACTCGGATGAAAAGGCAAAACTCCAGAGGGATGATGAGCCGATCTACAAGAAACTATGGGGCATTGATAGCTAGCATTGCAGGACACCCGCAATGGAAGAAGTAAGAGTGAAGGTTTTAGTCTGGCCACCGCAGCGTTTAATCCATGTGCGAGGTGCTGCACCTTGAGTCGTGTTCGGACAGAACCGCCAGAGACAATATTGGTATAAAAAAACACAATCCGATTGTTCTCGTGGGTGTACGCCCGGGGGCCAGAGCAATTCTCGGTGGCCTCGAGTCAAACATAACTCAAGACGAGGAGCGCACTGGTTAGTTTATATCTCTCCGTGGAGACCCTCGTGGCGAATTTTCCTCAATGTGCATCTCCCCTGGCTTTCCTTAATCCATTACAACCTCTACTCTCAACATCGCCACATTCGATAACGTGTTGGGTCAGATGTCAGTAAAATATTCTAAAATCTAACCCCCTCGGTGAAAGGGACAGAGGGCCAAAACTAGCTCCACCTCGCAAGGCTCCTCCAGGACGCTATATCATAAACCACGCCTTAACCCTATTGTGCCATCTAGAAACGCCAGAATACCCCTCCGTCCCGATGTCCTATACCAACCCTCAGGTAACTCCCCTTCGCCCAACATCCAAAAAGGAGCATTCGAGAGCAAAAACCAGTCCGGAACTAGTATTATCACAAGGGGAACAGGTAACCCAAGCAAAACTACTGAATAGGAGAGCTAGCCCCACAGACCGTTGATCCCAAGCTTTCATGTTTCCATAGAAAGCGATAATACAGCCCAATTCACTCAATGCTCCCCAGTTAACTTACCCCTGAATAGTATAGTCACCTAAGAGTATTCCCAAATTTCATAATTAGTATCATACCCAGGCAAAACACTGGTCAGACGATAGAATCCCGAGTGAGATGGGATGATAGACTCTTATCCATTGGCATGCCCCCCAAAACCTAACCCTCAGGAGTAAGATCTAGATTCCACGTCAAATCAGAGATCAAGGGAAAAAGTGACCTCAGAACAGGGGCAGTGAGGTAGATCTCCTACATGTTTTCACACCCCCGGGAAAACGGCGAAACAATGAAAGCATTTGATGAATAGCGGATGCTGTTCCCGAGTGGATGTCGAGGGATGAACTATTGTGATGAGAGATATCATTTCGTCGATCCCTAAGTCAATGCGGGTCTAGAAACTTGATACAAAGGCGAAGTGGCACAAATGGGAAGTGAGGAGAAGCTAGTGACGATGACCAGGTTACTCCGAAATGCTACCGTAAGCATCTTACTTTAGGCGCATAAATCTCGGTAGTTTCCCGAAGAAACCCCAATCATTGGACCTCCTATCTATTGGAATCCTTCTCCATCCCCTAATTCCACCTAATTTCTCTCTATACCAGGCCTGTTCAGATCGCTGTTACCTCGAAAGGATTACCTTCAAAAGTCTTTAGCTTTTCACGGGGCCCAGGAGCCAGTTCCTTGATTGGAAAAAAATAAAAAGCGAAGAACGAACCAGTGCTGGTGTGACAAGTGCAAATACCACGATGGGCTGCAGCTAGTTGCTGTTGAACTACCTAGTCCACGGTAGCTCACAAGCCATAGATAATAATATTCCTAATCCAGAGGTTATCAATCAGATCATAGTCTCGTACTGGTCCACAACGTCATCGGGCTTACTTGATTTGTGAGCCCAACTACCGTATTCACACTCACGGGCTCGCACACGCATTCGAGTAAGCACTTAGACAACTCATGAGGCAAGGCCAACATCGCAGTCATGCGCAGTCGTTTTCGGGCATCCGCATGCACCGAATGCCGACGAACAGTTGATCGTCGTTTCACATGCTTTCGGATTCCCAAATTGCAGTCCTCGGTCACACCCTACTCCAACCGAACAGCCTGCATAAGCCTGGAGACGGCCATGCTCACAAGCTTGCAGATACCAAGGCAAACATTGGTGGCCTCCTCCCACATGACCCGAGGAGCGAAGCCTTGCTGAAATAAGAGTTGAAATCCAGTGCTCTAGTCCTCTCCTCGATAAATAATGAGACCATGACCAAGCACAGCCCTATATCTGAGACTGTCGAGTGAGTTGTTGTGTCTCACGATTCATGCTACATGCGGAGGTAGCGGTTGCTACTGGTCCCGAGCTGATGGTCCGGCGCTAGTCGGTGAGAAAGTTGCTGCGAGGTTTCCTTAACAACCAGGTTTTTCTGATGCCTGTATAAACTTGGCTGCCAGCGACTGCGATCCGATGGTGATCGAATACTCCGATCAAATAGGCACTTGGTCTCCTCTGCAGGGTTCGAAGCATGCTAGTATGTGGCCCCTCCATGCTGCTTAGTGGCTTGTTCTTAGCCGGTCTAGGGCCATTGCTCTACTGTAGCAGGAGTTGGGCGGTGTCGACTCCACTCCACTCGCGCACAGGAGCTATATTCCTCAATCCGAGCTGATTGGCCTCCAACCGGAAGTCCAAATTGGGGTCGAGTGAGTTTACATGCGCCTTGGCGCAGCTGTGTTAAACATTCGCTGCATCGAAGTGCCCATGGCCCTCGCCGGAGTCTGGGGATCGCTCTCGTTGGGCAGGTGTTTCCTCCAAAGGGCTTATAAAAATTGCCGGACGATTGCATTCTGGACGTTTGGAGCACGCCACCATCCTACTTTGATACATAGTTTGGGTTCCCGAGCACCCGTAACTGCAAGGGTATTGTGTAACTCCCTAGACCCCTTTCACCATCGGTAGTGCAGTATGGCCAGTAGAATATCTTCGGGGGTAAACTTACAACACCTGCGGTGGCAGCCCTAAATTTACCACTCGAGTGCTAGGATAGTAGCCAGTATGATATCCGAGTAGTCTAATCAAGGGGGTGACGGCTTGGCTCCAGGAGAAAAACCATGGATTCCATAGCAAAGCTCGTTGGACAGTTCCCACAAGACACACGGTAAATCCCCGGTCTAATAAGATTTACGGAAACTCCACACCCCAAAACCGAGGCTCATCCGATGTCACCAACGCCTTAGCGCCCGATATCGCCGCAGTCGCACCCCGCTGTCCCTGACGGCCAAAATGCAGAGGATCCGTCCGATGCAGTGGGTAGGCAATAAGGGATAGTGGGCCAGATTTTGGTGTAAGGAAACTTGGGAATAACAGAGGTTCATACGGGCCAGCGATGCATCCTGCCGTCCACCGCCTAACTTAAATAATTTCGATCCAGGAACAGAAATGAGAGTTATCCGAAAACGGGCGCGCCCACACTGGACGATTCGACAAGGACAGAATTTTCGCGCACCCGACAGAATCGCAGCCCACGACAAGCTTCTCGAGCGAGCTCAAGGAGTCGCGTCAGAGTTTGTTTGCAGTTTCATTAGACATGACTTTCCCTACTCTCACCCCCAAACTTCACGAAGGTGTTCGGAGGCACTGCAGCAAATTGCGCCAGGCACGGGGGATACCAGAGAAGGCGCATAAAATATCCTTCATAAGTCTCCCCCCCTGTTCTCCCGTTTTCCGAGACTTCGGACGATCACGTATGGTACGGTCTCCGCCCATTGAATCCCACGGCCACCCACGGAAAGCGGGCTCCCTTCCTTTCCCGTCGTGCTAGCCATCAGTTGCAGAGTGTCACAATCAGAAAAATGGGAGGATTGGAGGAGAATTTACCGCCAACATTGTATTCAATCCAGCCTCCCACTACTCGTAATCGAACGACGTTTGTGAACACGACTGCTATTTCTTGGGTAATATCTCGGCCAGAGCCTCAGGAATTTTTGTGGAATGCAATAGCAGTTGTGTTTACAAACGTCAGAAAATTACAAGTACGGTACTCGCGTACAGTATGCCGAGTCCAATATCGGACGTACTTGCAGGCCGAGCGCGGATGATGCCTAGGCTCGATTTCAGGATTCGGTCAGTCGGGGTAATTTGTAGGTTAGCCAGGGGGGCGGCTGGCGGTGACCACTTGTGCGTTCTGGACCACGCCAAAAACGCCAGCCCCCCGTTACTTTGCAACAGACGGCCATTCAATCATCACAAAATCCTGCAAGAAGATTCACTCCCTGCGATCGACACGCCAGAACCTCGGGCGTTTTCCTTGCAGATTTTGGTTGTACCGTACACATGTTGGGAATGGGCAATTCTCACATCAAATACTCGTACTCGAGTACATCCTCCCCGGGCACCCCTACGGATCTTTGGTACAGTTTCATGACCGTATCTGGACCAAGATTTACAGCTACTCCTCGCAAAACCACCCACTCGAGTACACTGGAGAAGTGCCAGCTCATTTAATGAAATGCACCGCGGATGAGCTATGCCCAAGAACTACTCGAGCACCAAAACGTACAGTACTGTATGGCCAATTGGACGAATAGTGCGATTAGGGATATTAGTGCATCAATGCTACCAGCATCGCCACCGATCCTATTGTTGCAAACCGTTCCTACCACTTGACCAGAACTCACACCAATCCAGGGTGAGACCCGATACCGTACTATTCCACCCTATCCTATGCGCAGATGCCCGTCAGGACCCAAGGGTCCAAACCACGTTCACTCCATCCCCTCCGATCATTGGACTACCATTCAACGCTATCCGCAACACGCTTAGGCGAAAGGCTCTCGATCGATCCAAACAAGCAAAGCCAATCTTCCACAACCCTTAGCTAGAAGCGGCAACGGATTGTATAAGAGAAACACCAATCACGGAAGCACCTGCTTCCCCAAAGTTGGCAATTAATAAGCTGCAACATGAATCATTTCCGATACCGGGTCGGGTAGGCGCTGGTACGTTCACAGCCCCATTGACCCGTCGGAATCAATCGGGATACCGTGGGAGCTCTCAAGCATCACCTGCGGCCAGAGGAGCGCGAACCCCACCCCGCATTATTTAGAATTGGCGTTGGGGACAAGACGGGAAACGGGGTTTATGTAACTACCGATAGGAGAATACCATGTACTCGAGCTCGAGTACGGTATTGCAGGTTCTCCTATTACTGGCACTCGTACCCTGTACTTGAAGTACCGTACCGGTATCCAACTTCCGAATCGATACTGACCGTGCATAGGGATTAGTTACAAGTACGGTTTCGGGCCAAACCTCCTGGTACTGCGCTGGAACTGGTACCGGTACTCGTCCAAGTACTCGAGTAGTAGGTCCCTCACCACAAGGGAGTGATTGGCCAGGGCAAGATGGTGCAGCACGTTACACACACTGATGGTGCAGCACGTTATTGCACCAAATGCCAAAGGTCAGCAAAGTGAGACCAGAGCTCGCCGATTCTCTCCTCAGAGCGCCATTGCGCAGTGCAGTACTTGTACGAGTACTAGCACGGTATCGTTCACCGGGGGGGGTCTTACCGAAAGTTCCGGCCTGAAGATTAAGATACATATTATATGCTGTGGAACCTCGAGTTAGGTGGCTTGCCAAGTGCTACCGTAATTAAACACCATCTCATGAGGGAAAAAAAGAGAAGAGGAAAAAAAGAGGAGGGAATCCCAACATTTTGTCCAGGGGTTTTCTTTTTTCGGTTTTCTTCGCAACCTTTAGGAAACCTGTCGCACTAGCACAGTACTGTAGGAGGGTATGATAAATCCAGAAACTCGTAAATCTAACAGATACGACTTGCCCCCCCCGGCAGATGGACCAACACCAGCCCGTCCTCGACACCCTACGGAGGTGTCGGCGGCACACTCATGGCGGCCACTCTGAGCCAACGGCGGGATGCGCCCCATCGCGCACATTTACTGTACCACTGGACATCCATACCACGGAGAAACACCGGTGGATTCCCCCTTCTGGTTCCGCTGAAGAATTCCACACAGGTACGAGAAAGAGAACCGGGGAGTGCGAGAACACTATTAGTAACCCAAACCCAGCAAGCAATCAGGACGGCGAAAATAGAGTTGCCAGGCCAACACGGGGAAGACGGTTCGAGACTTATCATAGTCGGGGTGGGGCCTGCCACAGTGGGGGGGGGGGGGGGGGTATGATACAGTATTGCACTCCCAGTCGGTTATCTTCTAATTTATCTCTCAACAACGCTACATACATACACATGCATACACTATCTCTGCACGAAAGTGCAGTACTGTACGAGCAATAGAGCTCTTATTATCAGTTTAGTCGGTACAAGAAAAGTTTTTCTAAAAGTGCTGTACCGGTACCCGAGCACTTGCCATGCAGTCCAGTGCTTGTACTAGTACTATCATAGTGCTGCACAGTAGTACTGTACAACCACCCATTCCTCCCAGTCGAATCCCTACCGCCCCTCTGACATGCACAATCTCGCTAGCAAGCACATCTCGCTAACGGTAAGCACATCGCCCCCAAAGGTTAACCGCCACGGGAATCGAAAGGGTAAAAGAAAAAGAAAAAAAAAGAAAAAAGCCCTTCAATCCAGGGTCCTAATTTCCCCACCCTCTCTGCACCCCAAAAAACTGCTGTACGAGTACCGTACTCCAGTACACGTACGAGTAGGTCAATCTCCACAGTCGGAGACATCACCGATTTCTTGACCTTTTGTTCACAGCAAATATGGACTGCTCTAAGCCTAGGTAGGCTTCGCTACAAGCACGAATAATAATAATAATAGCACGTACAGATATGATACTTGTATGAGTACAAGTACTAGTACAGTCCCACCCCGCTACCGCATCTTGGACGACTGAAATCCGAAAGAATTCCATCCGGGACAACGGGTAAAGTTTTGGTGTAAAATTATTATTTTTCAACTCACAGGATTTCATACAGGACAGCGAGGTTTGACTCTACCTTACCGGTACTCATACAGTGCCCGTACCGAGCCAACCCGGACCCCGAACACCGGTACAGGACCCTTCCGCAACACGGACTCCGGCTCTGACAGCGCCTCCACCGGGGTTGCGGATGTTTGGCGCTGATCTGGGACACGAGTACCGTACTGTGCTTGTACGAGTACTGATGCAAATTTGTGCCTGGGGCGCCAATGACTTTGGGCTTTTCATGGCCGGGACCCCCAGTGGGGGGGGCAGCTGGCGTGTGGAGAATTGAAGTTTCGTACGCTAACTGGACTGAGATTAACGATGCCGCGCACCGGTTTAGCGCGCAGCATACCGGCTGCGCTCCTGTGCCTGTAGCGACGGGTTGGGATACTGTACTGTACAAGTACGTCTGGGCGGGTGCGCCTGGGAACCAATGGGCGGGGATATTCTGCTGGCCCCACTGCTTGCCAACTGAAGGTGGTCACAGGGTGTCACTCGGGTAAATTAGATGCCATGCGGCATAGCATGCGATTAGTTTAGGCTAGCTACAGTAGTCTAAAGAAATGCCGGTATCATGAGAAAAAGCAAGCATCCCACCCGAAACACTTCGTTTCGTGAGCGAATGGTTTTAATCGTGCGATACGACACAGGAGTAATTGTGACAGCTAGCAGCCTAACATCCCCGAGGAGTTGTGATCATCACATCAAGACCAACACCATCTCATCCCCATTCCAACCCATAATCAGTGCAACACAACATGCAATGCAACTCACCCATTATCGCCAGGCAAAAACGAGGAAAAAGTTTCGGAAAGAAAAAATCATAACTTCATGCCAACACCCACAAGCGTCATCTAGTAATTAATCATCCTCTTCTTTGTCTTCCAGCGGTTTCTGCGCAACAATAACGTAGCTACCAACAATTAGCCTTGCCGTGAAATATCCAGAGAGAAAAAGGGGTGGATACTGAAAGTTATAAATATGTATCCTCTTGTTCCTCAACTCCTTCCTCGCGTCCTGGCAAAGCTTGAGCGCCTCATCAGCCGACATCCCAATAACCCTAGTCAGCAGCGCCAGCCCAAAAGCCTCAAAACTCGTCTCGCAATTCAGCAGCGTAAACCTCCCCAATTCCTTCATCTTCGGATCCGACGGCCAAGGCGCCCACGGCAACTTCAAAATCTTCTGAGAGACATGCGCGAACCCGGTTTCCTCCACCGTCCCCTTCAAGGTGTGCCCCACATTCATTACCCGTCCGATCTTATTGGCCGCCGAGTTCATCAGGTGCAAATAGGTCCTGATCGAGCATTCCTTTGGGTAGCTGTTGTCGTCGCTTGTCACATCGGTTGCGTATTCGCTAAGTTGCATCCAGCCACCAGGTTTAAGGGCCTTGTAGATTTGCTTGATATATTCCGGCCAGTCCGCTAAGGCACCCGAGAGGTGGCGGGAGTGGATGAAGTCGAAGGAGTCCTAGAATTCAGGGTTAGGAACGGTGTTGGCTTTGTTAAGTGGGTGTTTTTTTTTTTTTTTTTTGGGGGGGGGGGAAACCGGAGCAAATGTCCAGGGACTTGCGGCATCGTCAACTTCGAAGCGGCAGTTCGGTGGGACCCTAGAATGGTCACCCTATTCAGTAACCCTTTCTTTCGCCCACACTGTTAGAGCTCTTTCTTTCAGCGGGAGACGAACCATTGCGGTTGAATAGGACTAAGGTCCGTGCCAATGACTTCTGCGGAAGGATATTCACTAAGAATGCCAAAGTCAGCAACCCTCATGATCACCCACCCCTCAGGGGGGCACAAGAGGAGCGAACCCACTTTGCAATGTCGATAGCCCAAATCCCCGTCCCAGTACCAACATCCAATATTTTCTGCGGATTATCGCCAATAGGGGCTATATGCAATTTCCCATCCAGCAGCATGAGATATATGTGATGCATCATGTCCAGGCGGTCTTGCTCCGTCTGTAAGACCGGAAGCTTGGGTTAGCAGGACCAGACTTTGATCCATGATAGTGGTGGAAGGGAGGCCAACCTCGTCGTTTGGCATGGGATAGGAGCCCTGTCGATACCGATGATAACGTCTCCCTGCAAGCAAACAAACGCCATCCCCATGAGACAAACGTGTAACAAACAAAGGATGCAACAGATAAACAAACCATTCTCGTACTCGTAGTCTAGGATGCTAGAATTCAGGGATGTAGTCTCGCTCCTGGGGATGATATCATCAGCCTCAGCCCCTCTTTGTAGGGTGGGGAAGGGAAATGCTCACACGTCGTTACTAAAGTAATCCTCGTCGGAGTCCTATTCTGGGTCAGCAGGAAGAGGAGAAAGGGGGTAGGGAGGAAACGGTCAATAACACACATCTTGAGAACTGCCGGCTTCGAGGGGGCTAAGTTCGGGGTACTCTGGCGCAGGGCCTGGATTTTCTTCGCTTTGGGACATGATTGCACGAGGTTGTGTTTGCGCGTGGGGGAGGAGGAGGATGGAGGGATGATCGGTTATGTGGTACGGTAACCCCTGAGCCGCACAAGTCGAGGTATGAAGGGACGGATGGACGGATGGGCGTGTGTGCCCAGCGATGGGGTCTTTATACCTGTGAAGGGAAAAGTTTGTGCAATGAGAAGGAGGGAAAGGGGAGTGGTGCAACGAAGGCCAGACCGTTACCCACCCCCGGGATCCCCACCACGGGAGCAAAAGCGAAGGAGCATCATGCTAGCGCAGTACCGGTACCGGTAGTGGAAAAAGGGCAATCCCCTTCTCCATAAACGACTCCGAAGAGAGGAGAAAAAGGAATTAGCGGAACGAAACGTAATCCCGGGGACAGTACGGTACAGATCTCTCCCCTTATCAATAAACCGCGGACCTCCAAACCCACCGTCACCACCACCCAGCACAACCCCCCCAAGTACCGCACCGTATGATCCTCTGTCCACCGACTCCGCACCACCACCACCGGCGGCGCGAGCGTGCGACTCGCGAGGGTGATATTTCTATAAAGACCCCCCCCTCCGCCCCGGGCTGTAAATTTAAGCGGCTACCCCTCCGGGATTTACTGGGTGGAGTGCGAGGGTGTGTCTTAGGGGCACATGGCTCCTTATCCAACTAGCTAACTGTAGCGTAAAAGCTTCTGAAATGCGCCATCAGATTACCGGCACTGTGTCGGCGGGTATCAGTGTGCCGGTTCACGTTAGGTTTAGCCTGACTGGTCAGCAGGATGGCGAAAGACGAGTCGATGAGATCCGGCGCATCCAGTGGCCTGATCTTATCCCATGAGGGAAAAAGGCTAATCTTCCTCAGGAGCTTTTGACTTTGGATGCGGGAATTACAGGGCTGATGGAGGTGGCGAGTCTCTACGGCTCTCGAATCCAAGCCATCTACTCCGTAGCCAAAGGCAACCTTACCGGTATGATACGAGTACGAGTACATTCGACTCCAAGCAATCCACCCCTCCTCCTCCTCCTCCTCTTCCTTCTTCTTCTCCTTCTCCCACCTTGGTCTGCCCTAAACTGGGAGGCCATACCAAGAACAAAGAAAGGGTCGAAGCGAGCATCAACAGGAACCATGTCCATCACCGTGGTTCCGACCGCCGCAAATAACACTTCGCTTCAAAAGAGAAGATATCGTATGATACTATAGGGACTACACGTGCAGAATATAGTGGTTGAATCTCACGCCAAGGCATACAGAATTCCCATCTTTGGATACAGGGGAATCAGGGTGAAGAAAACTGGCTTCCATCCCGAGACAAATAAAAAGGAGAGGAGAGGAAAACCGGAACGGAACTTACTTACTGGGAGAGGCGACTCAAACGTCCTGGCGTGAGCTTCAACGACCCCACTCCTTTCTCGCGCCATGATGAAAGCTCGTCGGAATTTCTGGGGGAGGTGTGGAGCGTATCATAGGGCCTCACTCGGATTTAGCCTTACGACGGTCGTGGCTGGCCGAGAGCGCAAAATGTCTAGGGCTGAGTTTAGCGAGCCCCACTCCCACTATCGGCGATCACCGACCGGAATGGTTTCGCCTCACGGCGAATTCATCAGTACTGTACGGTACTCCGGACAGGGAAAAGAGGATATTATAGTCTATTAATCTCGCACGCAACACCCTCCCGGGGACCGAGCAGGCCTCGCCTACTCGTAGGGTACTCGAGTACCCATCCGATGCCTCCTTCCAGTCGGGCAACCACCCGGAAAACCCGCGGCCGGCTTACCAAGCAAGTGCTGTGCGATATAAATTATTGCCCGTATGGTATGATACAAGGTAGGCAGGTAGGCAGATAGGCAGGTACAAGTACTTGTAAGGTATGTACGGTACGCCCTGCAAAAGAAGGTGCGATATAGACACGAGTTATCCGCGATGCGAGATACAATCATGCGCGGAGAGGTGACAACGGGCATTCTGGGGGGAAACTATTGTGGCCATCGAAGGATGTACTAACTGGGGAATGCTCGCCATCATTAACTTCGAGATCGATCCCACCTTCTGCTCAATCCTGTCCAGGGTCCTTAAAGTGCAGCACGAAAAAGCATTGTACTCGTGGTTGAGAGTAATGCTTTGCTTGTGTTGTACTACCGGCAGTGTCGCAACCGCGCAAAACAAGGCCTGCACGGGGAAACCCCGCGGGGTGGGGGGAAGAGAAAGAGAAAGAAGAAAAAGGAGAGCAGACACTAAAGCAGCAATTGCTCGTACGAGTACAAGTAGAGTACGGTGCCGTACAATTCCTTTACTGTGTACCTGGTACTCGGTACAGTAGTATGTTACAAGTGCTATTAGCGGTGCTCCAGCACAAGTGCGGTACTGTACCGTATTAACTTGAATAAGAGCAATACGCGCTAGTATGTTAAATTAAAGTGCAACGTGCCATAAGAGTGGCGCAACACAAGACAATGACTAGTGTAATATAAAATTTAATGTGGGGCATAACAACAACAAAATATATGAATATTGAAAAAAAATGAAAAAAATAAAAAAAAAGGACAGAGAGAGAGCTTAATGCAAAGTGAAATATAAAATGAAAAAAAAAAAAAAAATGAAAAAAAATTTAGTCAGAGATATTTAGTTCCCCTAGTTCTTGTAACTCCTCCCGTAGAGGTCTAACACCATAAGAAAGAAACTCATTATTGTCCTTGTCAGAAGGTAAGGACTCTTCACCTTCCGAGAAATCATCTAAGTCCATGGTAGGCTCCTCCAATCCCCCAATTTCCCATTTCCCGAGATCATGAGCTAACCTCTCACAATCAATCCCTTTTAGTGAAATTTCACTATTGCATGTTCCGTTGATCGGCAAGGAAAGTCCAACGGTGGTGAAGGCTCGGACAATTACATCACGCCGGGATGTACAGAAACGTTCTCATGCTTCACCAACAGCCCAAGTGGTCATTATCCGCCGCTGTCCAATCTTGCTCTCACCCGGCCTATCTCTTTCATCCATTTCCTCTAACTCAATTTCCTTTTCATCAATGATTTCCTGTATAAGTATTAATTTGTATATAATATTATAGAAAATAGAAGCAAAAAAAACCTTATACAAACCTTTAAAATATCTTTAAAAGGACGGTTTATAGAAATGTCCAGCGGTTGGACAATACCAGTACAGCCGGCAGGAATAATCGAGAGTGTGATATCGTGTGCTTTAAGTGTATCCAAAACATTGTCGGTTTTGTGCCTACCAAAAAGGTCTAAAGCTAGCAAAGCTGGTTTGCCATGAAGAGCTGGTACAAGCTGCTCTTCAATCCACTGTTCTATATTTTCTGAATTGGCATATCCAGTAGGATTAAATTTCACAATTACACGGGGATCATAGAGACTCTTTTCTCTTAAAATACTTGCCCCTACCCCTTTGCCTCTAAAAAAAATAAGAGGCAGGACACGCATCTTACCATCTGCGAAGATAGTAAGCTGCAGTGTTGCCTGCCTCTTATCCCATCCACTAGTACCTCCCTTAACCCATACAGTCTTTGATCCTTTCGGTTCGTAGGTTTGGCCAGAAAGAAACTCGAATGGCAGAGGTGTTTGATCCATATTGCATATCGTAGCAAGATGGTATCGTCCTACCTCTGCCATAGTATCCTCCGCTTTTCCTCCACTTCCAGAGTGTAATTGGGAGTTATGCCGATTAAAGCGTGCCCAAGCTAAGATCGCAGAGTAGGAGTCGGCTGGTACTTTGCTCGCTTTATTTGTACCCACACGAAGGGAAATATTGTACCAATTCAGGAACCCTGTATTTAAATTTATTATCTATGTACACAATTTATAATTATGTACATAAAAAAAATAATACATACCACTGAACCACCCATTTGAAAATCGAAAAACACTATTCGGATAGTGTGTTGACATTAATGCCTTTGACCGAACACGAAACCATCCTCTTCTTACAAATTTTCCTGCATTTCTCCGTTCTATAAATCCATCATAGAGGAGTTTCTCTATTATTGGCCACTTCCTCTTGCCTACCCTATTGCGCCGCTGTGTTCCAAGCGAGTCTAATAACACCTTTTCCTGCTTTTTCCAAGGTGTAATATTGGAAGGTGAAATCATAAATCGCCGTGCTGTCTCAGCTGCTGTTACGGGATGGGTAGAAGTTGGCCCTATCGGTACTGTAGCATGATGGAGGTAAGATATCACACGTAGTTTGTATCGTGTAGTGTAATTTCTTTTAATCGATGAGACTGGTAAAGGAAATGCTAATGGCGTTTGGACAATATCGCTTCGTTTAGGACCTGGATGTTTTTTGGCTAGCTAGCTATCATGACTTTGAGAGTCCACAGACCTATAATGACTCGAAGTGGAAGCGGACATTGTTCGTGATGATTGAGGTTCATGGTCCGGCAGTCTATTCTATATTCATTGCTATCCTATTACCCCACATTTATACAACACATCACTGAAACTATCATTGACATTGACTTCATGTAATCCCAGCCACAAATGTCCCTCCTTAAACTGTAACTAAAATTGTGCAGCACCTACCACACTCTAATTTAACATACTAGCGTGTGTTGCTCTTATTCGAGTTAATACGGTACTGCGCATCTATTGGTACAGTATGAATTAGCCACCGTGGCTCCCGTCCGCGCACTGCAAACATGTACAAGTACCAGTACTCTACAGTAGTCCCGAGTTCAACCACACGGTGCTCCACTCGTACTGTACAAGTACTCGTACATCACTTCCCTGCCATGCGACGAAAAAACACTTGCAGACCCCGTCCGGTCAATACATCCATTCTTCCACCGAGGCCATCACCGCCATCACCTTCGGCCTACAGCGGTTCACAGTAGCTGCCGATGAAGGCGCCCGGCATCCTCACAATCGTGGCCGGCTACACATACTATATCACACATCCGCTTCCGGCGATAGAAAAAAAAAAAAAAAAAGGAAAACAAAAGAAAAAGAAAAGGAAGTGAAGGAAGAAAAAAAAAAAAAAAATACCACATGCCGAATCTTCCTCCCTCTCTCCCTCGTCGCAAAATGCAAAAGGCAAAATCACGACAATCCCCGCGCAAACTTCCGCTTCCTCCACACACCAGCACCAAGACTCTTTCTACTCGCGATCGAGTGGACGTTTGTGACCACGTCTGATATTGCACACAGCCAAAATTCAGCATTGCAGCAGCTTACGGCAGATCTCGGTGTCATGCAATAGCGGTCGCGTTCGAAAATGTCTCTGGTCGGATTACGAGCGCAGCACTGTACCGGTGGTATAAAATGCCCTATATGCACCCCTCGTGCGCTTAGAGCGCCTACGAACCTTACTTCCCACGGCCAATCCAGGATTCGACAATCGACCAAGGAGGCACACTGCGGTATCCACACGCAACACATCAATCCACTGCACGCGCAGTACGGTACAAGAAGCCGAGTGATATTACTCGTGGATGGGTGCGTGGGTTTCTGGCATCGACACTGTACTACAACATACCATCAGTCCCGGCCGCTCGACCGCGCGGTGCAGAGTTGGGTATCGGTATGTGATGTGTGGTTGATGGTGATGGGGCATGTGGCATGGGGAAAAGCGCGGGCTTTCCCGTTCGCCACGCGCACGCTTTTTAATGGGCGGCGAGGGACAGAGTGGGGGGGGGGGGAGGGTGAAAAAGCGGTGCGGTCCGAGATCGATCTGGTGGGTTGTAGGGTAGGAAGGTACTGTAGTCCGGGAGGGAGGGAGGGAGGGAGGGACGGACGGACGGACGGAGAGCTTTTCGGCCAGTAAGGTCATGACGGGTACCGCACCCGCCGGCCGGGCACGATACCGTGCCAGAGTAAGATTTGGGCACCGGCAAGAAGAGTTGGGAAGAAGAGTGATAGCCGGTGAACGGAAATGCTCGGTATATAGAAGATGTGCTTGACAGGCCAAGTCAAGTCAGCTTAGAACCTAACTCGGACTACATCAATTTCCCCATCACACAAGTCACCCTAATCAATCACCCCCACCCAAACCCCTCATCCAGCCCATATCGGTTGATCCTCTTCCCCGCTCACTCATCGAGATCAAACTTCACTTTGCACCGTAATATCATAACCTACACAATCGTTGATGTTCTCATAACCTGTAAGAGGAGAGAAAAGACACATTCGTGCTAGGAGTTTGCACGGAGTACCGTGCAGGCCCCGAGTGTGGATAGTCTATCATACCGCGAAAGAGTATCTATCATACTACTCGTACTCGTAGTAGTTTCCCCACGCCACGCCTGCCACACCACGCCAAAGACCATCAATCAATCAATCCCCGTCGGGACTAGTCTAAAAGCCTTCCACCCCACCACTGCATCACTGCATCACTCCACCCTCCACCCTCCACCCTTCCGTCCCTCCGTCCCTCCTTCCCTCCTTCCCTCCTTCCTTCCTTCCTTCCTTCCTTCATCCCCTAGCCCCGCCCCGCCCCGCCAAAACACCATACGATGGCTATTAACAAACATCATTCGACAACACCGACCGAAATCCGGTCCGTGCGTCTTGAATTACCGGACGGATGTCACGGAGGCTGCGGCGCTACCACTGTCTATAATAGTCTATCGTACCGATGAAACGACCCATCGATTGGGTACGGTGCGAATACGTTTTTTTTTTCTTTTTTTCCTCCGCCCGAGCGCATGCTGTATTGGTACAGTGCGATACGATGCGATACAGGTATCATATGGCGTGGTGAGTTATTCGGAGAATTGGCGGAAAAAAAAAAATCAAAAAAAATCGATAGAATAAAATATGACAAAAAAAATCAAAAAAAATCAAAAAAAAAGGCGCTTTTCTCAATTTTTTTTCTTTCTTTCTCATCCGAGTATCGCACTTTTTCGGTCACTGCTCAAATTGTGAGTTTTGATGTTTTAATATTGTGTGATGCTCCATAGGGATTGAATTCGCGGGAACAACGGCGTCGTCAGTTTTCTTTCTTACAGGTATTAATATGGTTGAAGATGGAGGAAACTTCACAAGATATGGGTGCACACCACACTCGTAATTGAATGACGTTTGTGAACACGGCTGCTATTGCATACCGCCGAAATTTAGCTCTTTTGCTTGGATCTGACAGTCATGCAATAGCAGTCGTATTCGCGGGCGTCGTTCAATTAGGAGGAAAGTACTCATGCTTTGCCGCACATACCGGTATCGTAAGGTCGCACGGTAATGCTGTACGTACCCATGCAACATAATTAGATCACTAGTGTATTATAATATTATGCACTACAACGACGATAATAATAATAATAATAATGATAATATGCACTGTACCGTACAACGCTTTGATGCCCACAACGATGTTGTAAAATCTTTCCATCATACTGCTTGCTTACTTATGATACTATACATGAACAGTGCCGTGCTGTACTGGTACGGTACATACAGTACTAGCACCGTCCGTGGTCAACATGGCCGGACCGAGCGACCGTCATCAGTATTCCGGCGGACCGTGGCTAAATTTTGTGTCGTGTTATGAGACCTCCGTTCTCCTCCAAAATCAAAATCAAAATCAAAATCTGACCAATCGTTCACTCGCTCCCAACCAACCGAGCAACCACGCAATCAACCACAACCATTTCAAACTCAAACCATGACGCCTCTAATAGCAACATTGCAACGATAATCCCCCGTCCGGTAAAATTCTCCGAAACTTACTCTCGAATATGTCTGCATGTATGTATGTATGTAGGGCGATTGGTTTTTTCGCCCCGCCAGAGTCGTGCCGTATCGTCTGGATTTCCGCTTCAATGCTACATTTTTTATTTTTATTTTCTAGATGGAGAGCATGCGCGGCCGTTTGAGAAGTGGTCCGAGCTATAAAAGTCGGCCATCATCTCTGCTCGGGGCCTTTGCGCTTGCTCGCGCTATGGTACCGTACGAGTATGATGAATTAGCTAGCTGGATGGCCAAGGTAGCAGAATTCGCCTCCGCCAGATGAGGGAAAGGGTCAGCGCTCAAGCTCCATTTCCATCGTCCAGATTCAAATCCTCTCCAACTTCTTCTGCTTCTCTCTTCCCCCCCCCCCTTCCCTTCCAACCCTCAGATACCAGCACCTGGAGGGAGATCCTATTACCATAGCTAATGCATAATACCGATATACTTGTACCAGGCCGCCTGTCAATCGGCCCCCTCCGACCGCCGTGCCGTATCCGCGCCCATCCAAAGTAGGGCAAGACCGCCCTCGCTTCTGAGCTCACTTCTTCACCTCTGCCCACCCCAAAATCCTTCATGCAGTCGATATGTAAAACCACGTACCACTGCCCGAGCCACAGATAGATAAAGCGCAGATGACTTGACATTCAACTCCGGGACAGTAAACCCTCCGACTAATTTCTCGCTGAAATGGTCAGTGCAACCCCGATAAACCGCCGTAAATGGCAAAAGTCCCCTGCGGCCAGGTTTCACCGTGCTATGATATCTAAAGAGTTCCGGCATCGGTATCGTACACCGGCGGGTTCCAAAGGGATCCGGAAATCTTGGCATTGCCTGGGTCTAAACCGTGCCGAATATTTTTCTTCATGCCCTGGGAAATGTGCGATGGATGCAGCGGCAGGAACTCAACGACGTCCTTGCAAATGAGAATGCCTGGCGCATACGGTACAGTAGTCCAACGACAAACCGCCCGGGGGAGCTGAGCGCAAGTTTGTTTCCCGATCCAGCCAGCTTTCCATATACAGGCATTGGCATTGCCCTGCAGCCAAATTCATATTCCATCAGCCTCCTTTTCCCATCAGCGAGTGACTAACCATGATAGCAAGCTTCAATTCGAGACGGACATGGGGTAATCAGATCTCGTGGGCCCAGCATATATCAACCCTACCACAAACCACCACCCAAACAATAGCCTGTAGCTTATCCCAATATTTCGTGGGGTCTTGCGAAAATATCGGTAGAGTTGTAAGTCGCCGACCTCTCCTCTCGAGGCTCCCACTCATTATTAGGGATCACGGGTGCTGCCCGCCGCTCCATCTGAGAGCCCTTGTCAGTAAACCCCCCAATCATTTATATCCATATCGACCTACCTCAACCACAAATCGTCCACAAATTTCCAATCATCACCATCCTCACCGAACCTCCACCTTCAATCCCATGGCTTTGGGCCTGCATCCTCTAGCGTATCGAAATAAAAAAAAGAATTCCGAATGCCACCCGTCCGACTGCCCCCCACCTTATCATTAGCACAAAAGACACGTCAACAAGAGGGGGGGGGGGTCATACGAAGCCCCTTCAGTCCTGTTAACATTATAACCAGTCACATAGATATGGGTTCCTGGAGGGGGATCATATATCGGGTGTAGATAGAACTCTAACAGATCGAAGGCCCCTTTGCCATTGCCAAAACTAGCTGGTGATTTGCCCTCCCTGTTGCCTGGGTTTTATCGTGGCCCAATAAGTGCGTTTTCCAGGGGAGCAGCAGGGTCTCCAATTGTTCGATGGAGGCCTGTCCTGGGCATAGGGGACAATACGGAGAGCTGGGGGATAAAAGCGAACCCAGGGAAATGGTTTTGGATATGTCCTATGGCCGACCGTCTGTTGGTCTTAATCGAATCAACCCTAGAGAAGGTCAGATGGCTCGAAAGGCCCACAAGGGGTATCCCTAGTGCAAACATAGGTACGGCAGCTGACCATTCCCGGCTGGCAACCTCTATCAACACATGATGGTATATCTGTTGGAGAGGGCCTCCTGAAGCTCGTGTCGAGCGCACAGCAAAAGACGTGGTAAGCGCAGGGGGAGCAAGCCCAGCGAATAAAAGGTTATTAAGATACGATGTGAGTGGTTGGCTCACATTTTCTCTCCGACTCACTAGTAAAAACCAAGAAAAGCAGAAGTCGTAAAAGTGAGGACATGATGGCGATGGTGCTGGTGGTGGTTATGGCCATGATGGGAACGGGGTGAGAAAT